CACGACCAGGTCCTGATCTTTCCCAAAACTTGGGTGGAAGGGGATTCAAAGGAGGCCAAAGCTATCAAGACCATCCAAAAGGCTCTACCGGACCTCGTCCTGCGGCCCTTTGGTCTCCTCACAACACACAAGGGAGAGGCAACATGGTCCAAGAGCCTGACCAAGTTCCACGCCTTCGATCTTACAGATTACACACGAGTGTTAGCCTTCGATTCCGATTCGCAGGTCTTGAACAACATGGATCACTATTTTCTGGCCCCAATGGCAGCCGTCGCCGTCCCCCGCGCCTACTGGCTGAACGAGAAGGATACACCCGTCGTCAAGCAAGTCCTTGGCTCCCATGTCATGCTCATCGAGCCCAATAAGTCGCGGTATGACAAGATTGTGAGCGAGGCGCTCAAGTCCGGGGATTTCGACATGGAGGTCATGAATCACATGTTCAAGGACTCGGCCATGATCCTCCCGCATCGTCGACTTGCACTTTTAACCGGCGAATTCCGAGCCAAGGAGCACCAGAAATACCTTGCGCCCGACGACGACGAGGAATGGAACGCCATGGCCGAGGTATCAAGAGCCTATCTGGTCCACTTCAGCGATTGGCCGTTGCCAAAGCCGTGGCTCTCCCGTTCGGATGCGCAATGGAAAGCTGCCTTGCCGGACTGCCCCGAAGACGAAGAAGACAAGCCTGATCGACCCCGGTGCGCTGATCGGGTTATGTGGGAAGGATTTTATGAAGATTACGAAAGTGACAAGAAGAAATACTGCAAGTCTTGGTTATGATCGCGGCACACATACCGGTACAGAGTATCATCATTCAGAAACTTGCGTCTCAGCCGAATTATAAACGATCCCGTGTGTTTCGGCCAAGGACGACAACGACGACGATTAAACGCCTCGGAAAACTCCTCAGGGCTACCTCAGAGCGCTCTTAGCCATGGCATATAATCCACTCGTGAAGCATTGCTAGCGGGCGGGCGGCGGCATCCGGTCCTTCCGACTTATCCGGCACATACGGCGCAGAAGCGGCTCGGGCATGCCGAGCTCCGTGATCACTTACTATCAGAGGCTCCACGACGGGCGAAAGTGTGGTCAACTAGGCCGTGCCAGCCAGCTCTCACAGTCTTTCCGCCTGATGGTCGGAGAACAAGAGGAAACAGGCATGTCGGCTTGCCAGATATTGCGAGGATATATGCCCATACTTGGCATTCCATTCCAGCTGGCAAACGTTGCTCGTAGGCTCCAAGTTGCCAATTTGGCTGCTATTAGGACTTCTTCCAGCAAAACACGGCAAACATTGTAATCCGTCAGGATGCCGCGAGAGTCTAAGCGGTGGATGCGCCGACGGGAGCCCCTAGCAAGGATTTGTCTCCTGAGAAAGCTGAAATAAGTGGTCTTGGCAGGAAAATAGAAACACTCAATAGATATAGAAAAACATAAGTGACTATTTTTTCCACATCCAAGCGAGCATCGTTCGCGTACTCCTGTGCTCATCGTCCGAGGCGTGCCGCGATGCCCTGATATGCGATCTTCAGACCCCATGTTGTATTCAGCGTCACTTAATGCCGGTACATGAGCTTTCTCGAACATCTGCCTCTTTTAAGGTATTTAGGCATTGCGCTACGCCCCAGACCTCTGTCATCAGACTCTCTTCTACCGTTTTACACGATAGCATGTCGACAATCAAAAGTTCTGCATGGCTTGACAGCTCGACGTCTTATTCGGCTTTATGGTGCTCTTTCGGCCGTGTCTCTATTGGAACCGATAGTTGCCAAGTCCTAGTTGGAGTCCGTATGATTGAGAGAGGAATTCAATGAACAGTCTGTTTTCTCTGGCAAACTGCATTATTATTTCCTTAGCCTGTATTCAGGGATCTTGCCATCGGAGCCTAAGTTTGGATTGCAAACCTCAGAACTTACCGGAAAAGGTTGGACGTACTGAGGGAACGATGATAGCTATGAAACCAATACCAAGTTCTAGGCTGACCTAAAGGTTAATTGTAATGTCGAGCGCTCCGAATGTGATGTGATTGTAGGTCGTATGATCGCAGCTGTTATGAAGTAGAAAGCACAGCACACAAGACTGATGATGAGTATCCTTTCTGGGCATTCGCATCATTCCAAAACTGGAATCGGCAAACTCGAAATTGGTATGCCAGTCATCACATCTGAAAATATGTCACTAAGTTAGGAGGTACTGGTCAACAAATAACTCTAACAGTCTGAAGAATGCGTAACTAGGAAGTTCAGGGTTTTATAGAGACGTCGATCATTGTGGGAAAGGTCGTATAGTCTCAGGTAGTTGGTACGGTACACAAGTTGAGACTGTTGTTTGATGCGAGTGAACTCAAAATCCGGATTCACTCGGTGAGTTTGCGAGAGTCTCAAATATGGAATAATGAAAACAAGCTTCGTCTTCTAACTCACTTCAGCTTGCTATATGGGGGTTGATTTCTCAGACTTAAAGACCAAGGCTAGGGAAACCCTCCTGACAGCCACGACATAATGATGGACGGGAGTATATGAGTTTGTGAGTCAATATTCTATAGCTAAGGAGAATATCGGTGAAGTGACAGGGTAGAGGCTTTGAGCTCTGTTTAGGAAGACTTCACGAAGCTGATCCACTCGAAGATTTCTCGTATCGATTCTGGCTCAGTCTTCCTAAACAGAGCTCAGAACCCTTACAACATACTACGTATGGAAGGCTAAAACTTGTCGGACTTCTCAATCCAACTAAGCCCACTTATTGAGCAGACGCTTAGTTGCAAGTAGGGTTGTAGGTAATAGCGGGGTCATATGACACGCAGCGGTTATTGCCGCAGATGGGAATATAGTTGCAGCTGGTCAACGAGCCACAGCAGTCGTCGTTGCATCTGGCATAGAGTCCTGTGCATCTCTCTACAATTTCATAGCTTGATTAGGGACAGATATACAACACGAAGGGCGCCGTGTATTTACTAACTTTCAATGGCAAAGAGTGCACCGGCGTCAGCGTTAGGGGAGGATGGCACTGCAGCAGCCAGAGAGGCAAGGCCGAAAATGGCGATTTTCAGAGTTGCATGCATCTTGATGGAAAAGTGTCTGGGTCGTAAAGAGTGTTGGAGGTGTCGAACTGAAGGCAAGTAATTTGTCAATTATTATCTGATGAGGGAAATCATGCATGATGGTCAAAGGCGTCAAGGCTAGTCTTTATAAAGACTGCTGAAAGGCTGTAAACTGTCGGAGTAGATACAGTCATTCGTATTGTTTGTATCGCTTCGCACGCCGTACAATGTTAATGTTCTCCCTCTGGAACCCACATAGTAAGGTTTAGCGGTCATCCGCGGGATGGATTATTGATACTCGGTTTTCCCGGAAGTTGCAGATGTCATCTCGGCTAGTCAGATGTATACAAGAAGAGGCTTCGGTTGTGGTCAGTTGCGTGGGTCGCCCATATAATAGAGTGCTCACTCCTCTCCCCATACTACTATACATCTGCAGTGTCCTCCAGAATATAGCTCGTCCAGCCGCGGATATGGTGCTTGGGGCAAGCATGCAGAGTCATCCCGCCGGTTTATGGGGATACCAAGGGTCGGAGGTGATTATGTAAACGGACGCTCCGTACTGTTTACTTTCCAGTGTGTTTAAAATGGACCATTCATGTGGAGTTGTTTGCTATTTAAGGGCATAGCAATAGGCGTAGACTTGTCACCCATGCGCATGCCTCCTTTCTCCTACGGGTTTTTATAAGCCCATTCTTTATGCATTTTGATTGCAAAGCAACTGAGAGGAAAGGCCAGGAAAAACGGGAGTCAAGACCCAATCTAAAGCTGGAACAAGCGTATGTCAACTGTCAAGACACGATGGGAATTTGGGAGGTGGGCCGAAGGCTTTGGCTACGGACTTGCGCAACATGCCTTTATCTCCCAATCTTGCCAATATCGATTGAGAGAATTCATATTTTGTCAACGCCAGTCTAAATTCCATCGCCATTGAGCCTCATCAGATAGAACACGCCACGATCCTCACGTAATTCGAAGTTGAAACAATTGCAGCCCAATCTTTGGATGACGATCCCACGTTTGTTTCAATTTCGAGGACTCAAGTGTTTGAATTATCCGAAGTAAGACAGCGGAATCGGGAGATGAAAGAGGTCCGGGGGCCGGCCAGATTAACATAACTTGTAGTGAGGGACCCGAAATCCAAACAATCGGCTCGTCGCGACGCGATCTAAGCCGGCGTGCACACACACGGTTTCGGTACCGGAGCGGCGATCGCAGAGAACAGCAGAGTTTCAGAAGTCTGGTCAGCTGTGTTGATGAGTCAGTGAAACATAGTTATCCGGCGAGATCCGGCTCCAACTCACAACAGCGCAAATTGCGGCATGTCGCACTGGTCTGGAGGAGAGAGGAACAATCCTCGGACTGGGATCCAAGCTAGGGATGCCATTTGCTGAGAAACTCCACACGCGGCTGCGTTTTGCAGCGTCTCGCAGAAAAAGAATTGAAGAATCCGTAGGCTCTGTCGTTGAATTTGAGCCGTCCGAGTAGTTTTTGGTTCCCGGGAAGGCAACAACAAATATGGCCTTGATTCCACCGGTTACCGCCGTCTTATCGGCCGTGTGGGGACCCGAGAGGTGTCCGAAGTCGCATGGCGCCGATGGCGCAATATGTCGCCATACCTGAGCCCCAGCGCCGGGCGAGCCTGCATCCTCTTATCGGCAATTTTTGTTTCCCTGTCAAAGAGCTCTTCCTCAGATGCCCATTGACTGACTGATATGGGAAAGGGAAAACATTGGGTATGATGCCAGGCTTGATTGGCCAATACACGGCGTTGCCTTCCTCCCCAAGGCATGGGAAACTCCGAGTGCCACGCCGGACGCATGGCATGGTTGTCCACTGCGGATCTGAAAAGGTTCATCCCGGCTGCATCAGAGTTTTGAAGAGCCGATGACACCTTCCTTTTCTTCCATCTGCTGGCTTGCGGCTCTGTGATTCTCTCCTCCACACAACCAAATCGATCAGCATGACGCGCTCAAAGACATTACAAAGTGGTGAAGGAACACAGAGGGGAGTTGACGAGAGGTCGCCTTTGTTGTCGAGTACTCGACGGGGGTCGAGTTCGTCAGGTGAGAGCTCTTTGACTTCCTCGTCGTCTAGCGCAGACTCGGACGGCCAATACCTTCCATGGCATCTCACACGGCCATCAGAAGTCGTCGATTCGAGCGTCGATGTCGAACAAGTAGCACCCGTTGCAACCGCCGGCGATGATGCAAAGCTACAAGCCAGAAAGACCTCGACTTGGGCAGTTGTCAAGATCGTGTCTATCCTGCTGGTTGGAACTTTTACTGCGAACGCCGATGGCTCTTTGGTGATGGCAACGCACCCAACGATTGCCTCTGAATTCGATGATCTCGAAAACTCCAGTTGGCTCTTCGTCTCTTTCGCGTTGGCAGGAGCGGCAACTCAGACTTTGGTTCGTCATCCTGCCCTACCTAGTTCAAGCGAGTCCATTCACTAATACGGCGGAAAGTATGGCAAGCTCAGTGACATTTACGGGCGGCGTGCCCTCCTCATGGTGGCTTATACCTTGTTTTCCGTTGGATGGTAGGTTTGATCAAGGTTATCCGTATGACTGTCAACTGACTGTTCACAGCGCAATGGTCGGCGTCGGTCGCACAATGTGGCAAGTCGTGCTTGGACGGGTCATTTCAGGATCTGGTGGCTCAGCATTGAACGTCCTCGGGCTGCTCTTGGTGACAGGTAAAATACGACAGAGGACCCTTGATGGAAGGACTGAGCTAAGCTTGATAGATCTCGTCCCACTCCGTGACGTGGCTGCGTGGCAAGCAGGTATCAACCTGGCCGCAACAGTAGGACGAAGTCTTGGTGGACCTGTGGGAGGTTGGCTAGCCGATACCATTGGATGGCGATGGTCTTTCCTCGGCCAGGCACCCATTTTCCTACTTGCTGTCTTGCTGTGTTGGTTTTTCCTGCCAAAAGGCAAGCAAGTGGGCAAGAGTGATGAAGGTGTTGAAGCAAGCGGCAAGCCCATCAACGGCAAAAAGGGCTCTCTAGCGAGGATCGACTTTCTTGGCGCTGCTTTATTGGCACTCTTCATCCTGACCTTTCTCCTCCCGATTGAGATTGGAGGTACCAAGATACCTTGGAGCCACCCGCTCATCTTCGTTCTCTTTGGCGTAGCTGTCGTGTTTGGTGGACTCTTTGCCGCCGTTGAGGAGTGGTGGGCTAAAGAGCCAATCTTTCCCCTGGAACTGTTGAAGCATCGCGACATTATCTTGACGTACGTCATTAGCGGTGGGCAAGTCGCAGCTCAACTCGGCCTTATGTTCTCCGTCCCGCTCTATTTCCAGGTGACACAGCGTGTCTCTAACACTGTTGCTGGAATACATCTCTTCCCCGCCGTCTTTGGGAATGCCATCGGTGGCGTCCTTGCTGGATATCTGATCAGAAAGTTTGTCAATCCTGAAGATGCAAATTGTTTGGAGCGACATGCTGACTTGCACAGAACTGGTCGTTACAAATCTCTATTGATAATTGCGACTATCGCATCGATGTTCTCCTACTCGCTTTTGCTGCTTCGGTGGCATGGAGATACAAATGCTTGGGAGTCGCTTTACATCGTACCTGGTGGGTTTGGGGCTGGCCTGGTACAGTCGGCGGGTTTCATCAGCATTCAAGCCGCAGCCAACCCCAAGCACAAGGCCGCAGTGACGTCGGGAATGTTTTTGACATTCCAAATCGGCATGATCCTCGGCCTGTCATGTGTTAGTGCCGTCATGATGGAAACGATGAGATGGCGGCTAGACGCATTGCTGGAAGGCATGGATCTCAGCGCAGTTGTGCGAAAGCAGGTAAGCAGAGAGGCCAGTCGATGATTCTCTCAAGCCGTCGCGGACACTCACATGAATTGGGGTAGATTATCGCAAAAGCGACATCGAGTGTTGACTACATCGATCATGCGGATGAAAAGGTTTCAGCAGCCATCGTGCAGGCGTACGTCGAAGGTTTGGGATTTAGCCACGGTTTCTCACTCATCTCATCAGCGCTGGCACTAATCGCGGCTATTTTCGTAAGAGAGCATAAGTTGTGATGTAGAGCATTGGCGGAGCATCGATTGCTCATGTAGAGCCATGAAATCTCCTGGTCTGCGTACCTAGAGAGTCAAGGTAGACTCTGGCGACAATGTATGTTGGTATAGAATTCGAGTAGAAGAGAGGAAGAGCTGGGTTTGAAATGACATTGGATCCTGTGAGGATGCAACTCCAGGTGCACAGTTGACTAGAAGCTTTTACACCATGTCCCAACACTGTGTGTCCCTCGATAAGTGGGCCGTGCACAACACGTTTTTGTGGCCAGAGTATCTCGGTGAATTCTTAGCGGCACCTCGTCTCATCAAACAACCGCCGCGGCAGCATTGAGGAAGACCTTTTTTACCAGAATATAACCAGCCATACCGTCTTCCAAGTACCTAACCAGTGAAGAAGGAACCGGCGATACTCTTACAAAAGTTTGAAATTCAGAGGAAGCACTGCAGTCTACATCAGTTCAGCCACTGATACCTGGGGCCCCTTCGTTTGCCATTCCGACCTCGCCGTTGCCTCATCACCACTACCTCCAGGTGGTGTTATAACTACCGACATCATCATACCAGAATTTCTCCCTCAGGACATATGATATTCGTTACGTATAGAAATCCGCAATCATGCCGCCCAGGCGTTTGCGTCTCGACTTCTCCGCCGCTGAGCTACACGCCTTGGGGATAACACCCGACATGGACCCTCGCACGTTAGTAGAAGTGCTCCAGAGACTCCACCAGAGACTACAAACCAGCGTTCAAGAGGCTTCAGTACAACCACGGGAAGAGCAAAAGAATCCCTGCGATAACTGCCTTGACCGCTATCACAAGACGAAACATTGCCCGTTACCCTGCGGCCACTGCGGCCAGGCATGGCACAACGTCGCCGCCTGCACTAGCTCCAAGCGCAATCGTTGCCGCTGCAGCCCCTTTCCCCAACGACACCTCGCCAAGCAATGCCCCAAAATGTGTACGCCGGGCGAATGTCCCACCTTTCATATGGGCGATGGGATCACAGCCATGATGTGCAAAGCCCGCTGCTGCATGTGTGGTATCCCGGACCATGCCGGTCGCGATTGTCACCTCAAGAAGTGCCGCTGCGGAGGGCAGCACTTGACAGTCGACCACATGCCTATGGATCGACAGTGCGTCGTGGTGAGCTGCCCGCGATGGTTCTGTGCCAAGCATTGCCAGGCCTGCGAGGCCGAGCTGGAGAAGCTCAACGATGAGGTATGCCAGAGCTGCGGCTCCAAGCAGGAGATTCGTCCATCTGTGCCGCGGTCGCACCAATGGGCGAGTCCTGATTTTGAATATGTGGATGCAGCGTTGGCATGGGGCAATAGCAAGTATGGCAAGGCTATATTTGGTAAAGATGTCGCATTTTGAAATCAGCATTAGGAGGAAATCCCGGGCGCCAAAGAAGCACAACGTGGCTTCCGATAGAGAGCCTCAAGTTGTCACGATCAGCATTCCAAGCACAGTTTATGACTTCGCTGCGCTTGGATAGTGGAGCTATACAACCTATTAGGCTACATATATCATCGAATAGACCCTTGGTATTACTAAACTCGAAGATCTCGAGCTGGAAACTACCTTTGCAAATCTAGACCCGAGGTAATGTTGGGGTCCTGTCAAGAATGCCGCATGTATGGTGGATGGTATCACGCGACGAAATCATCCTTTCAACTCCCCGCCAAAAAGCAGACCTGCCCAGATGTGTGTAAAGAACCTAGCAAAACGCCCTCCATGACCATTAAAGTACTCTCTTTCAGTCATCCTCCCAGCCGCATCCATCGTCATCCACCTCGACCTTGGTGCCAAGAGCCTCCCTGCCTTGGCGAATCATCTCCTTGAGCCTCTGGTTGAAATCATTAATCCTCGCATCGGTGTCATGTTCATCTTTGATTCGTCTGGCTGCCAACTTCTTGGCTTCCACGTCGAGCCGAGGGCTCGCGCGGATGGAGTCCACCCCGAATTCCTTGAGTTTACCGCGAGGTGATGCTGCTGAGGCACTGCTATTGGAGCGGCGATGCGAGCGTATAGGTGGGCTCATTAAAGATTGTGCCGGTGACGGAATGGCACTCTGACGCCGGGCCGAGACGGTCGTCTTCGCGAACGGGTTCGGGCTCGAGCCGGCAGACTGCATTGGAAGTGGGATTCGGCTCGGTGAGGGCCCGGTCAAGGTCCTCGGCGGCTCCGGAGACCTCACACTAGCGAAGCTTGCTGGTTCCTGATATGACAGTGGTGCGGTGTCCGGAGCATTGCATTCGTGGCTAGCCGTAGATTGGCGGCGGTTGTGGATCGGGATCGAGCTGAGACGGGGCTTGGGAACACTAATCCTCCGGCCTGTGACTAGGGAAGGGCGCATGTTGCGGGATGCTGGTCGCATCGATGCCCTCGAAACTGGCCTATTGCCTGGCGCTGACTCGTCCACCACAACCCAGTTTCGCAACTCATCATGATTCCCAGCACTCGTCTGTCGGCGTTTTACGGCGGGTCGCGAAGGTGTGGCCTCGACCTCGACCCTAACCTCGGGTTCGGGGTTCAGGGCTTGGTCTGGCTCCCGGGCATACGATGTGAAGAGGGGCTGAGGGAAACCTCCGGGCGGCGTGGTATCTCCAACGGGGGTATCCAAGTTTTGGGGACTTTGCTGTTGTCTCCATTCGTATTTTTCGTTGAACTTCTCGGATGGTTCTAGCTGGGGCGCAGACAAAGCTGATGTAGCAGCTGAAGAGGGACGGATGCTCTGGCCATCAATGGTATAAGCCTTGCCACCCCCAGCAGAGAAGCCAATGAAGGCCCCAGCCTTGCAGAATTCCCAGACTTTGCCTACGACCCCACCAATAGTGTTGAACGCAAAGCGACTCCAGCCGCCGGCGACTGGATGGCTAGGCTGGACCAGTACAGTCGGCTGGCCTGGAATAGGCGATTCCATCTCTTCGTGTGGTCGTTTTGATCCCAAGGCTCTTCGATAATCGCCGTCTGAGTACATGCTCTCATCCAAGTTACCGTTGTCGTAAGGCGTGTTGACGCCGGCACCAGGTGTCTCGAGCTGGCCAGCCAGCGTGTATCGGGCTTCTCGGATCGGTAAAGGTGTCTCGTGTTTAGGGAGTTCGCTCGAGCTGTCTAGATTCATGTTGCCATCGTTCCATTCATTCAACGGAGTAGCTTCGCGGGAGGCATTGTTGCGCCGTTTCCTTTTTGCCTGAGCTGAAGGTGTATTTGCTTCGGCGTGGTAGCTATTTGCTCTGGCGAAACAGTAGGAAGAACCGGCGGAGGGGGAAGTGGGTGGTCGGAAGACGCCAGGGTGAACTCCGGCGGGTTGTGCGTCAAAGTAGGTACCGGGCATTCGGTACTGGGATGTGAAGGCCATGGTGCAGGTCGGTACAGGCGTCGGAGGCCAGGGCGACGGAACAAGGGATCTCGAAGGGCTCACGGGTGAGGCAGGGTAAGGAGTTGCGGGAACCACGGCAAGGGGTCGGGCGGAAGCGGTGACTGTTGTGGTGTTTGTGTGGTGATTCACAATGTCGCAAAGCCTAAACGAAAGCTCATGATCGATCCGGAAGCTAAATCCCAGGCCTGAGTCTCGGGTGTCGGGTGGTGTGCAGAAGACGAGTCGTGGTGCGCTGGCTCGTTGGTTGTTCGTCGTGCAACAGGCCGTGCGATGGCTGGCAGCAGGCGAGCGCTGTCAGATGGGGGAAGGAAGCGCTCGAAGATGAAGCGAAGAAGGATTCCCGTGTTGACAATGCGCGCGTGCTTACTCGGCCTATGCGTTGATGTGTCGGCAGGCAGCTGTGGTCGGGTTGGAGAAGAGCGGCGCGGTCAAGTTGTTTTTTGGGGGGGTCCCTGGGGCGAAATAGGTTGGGTGACCTGGAAAGTAGCAAGGAACAGCTATGGGCAACCAACAAGCTCGGTCCTGGCGTTGGGGAGAGCTTCGAGTGCCGGCAACAGCCGTTGATGATGAGTGTCTTGATTGGATGTCGAGCGTGTGTCGGTTGGTTGGTCTAGACCCTGAGAAAAAGTGATGGCGCTCAGGGTGACGTCGAGTTTGTCATGCGCTTCTTTGGAAGAACGCAAGGGAAAGAAAGGTACTAAGGGAATAGGTAGGTACCGAGAGTCTGGAGATGTGCTGTATGAGGTAGAAATGGTTAGCCTGTACTTAGGTACGGATACTCAGTATCGGAATGAAAACCAACGTCGATCGATGCAGATGGTAAAAAGAAAAGAAGACGCGATGAAGGGAAGGCACACCGACAGCACAATAATTGTACGGAGTATCGGCGAATGTATGCGTATCCGCCGCCAGTCCCTGAATCAAAAGTCGACACTAAAACTCAGACGAGGCGAAGAGGGATGGGAGGTTGGCAAGGAAGGATGTTGGGCAAGGGGGTTTATGGAGGTGCACCCGTTTTTTCTGTCTTAATACAGTGAGCCTAACAGTATAGCTGCATATCGTGTCATCTTGTTCCGTTCGCTTTGCCTTTCCGCACCACCCGGTGATGCACGTCTGTCAGTGTCAAGCTGACATTAAAATTAATATTTCTCAGGGTCTCGCGACGGCTCCTTCAAGGTTCCCTGCACTGTACCTTTCCCCCGGAAAATCCCAGGGGAGGGAAAAAGCCAGCCTCTTTTTTTTTTTTTTTTTTTTTTTTTTTTTGGTTAAGCGAAAGGACTTGTAGCTGTCTCAAAGAAGGAAGGCGCCATCGGTTGCTGGGGTGGCTGATCATCTGAAGGTCCAAGCGCGTGGCTCAGCAAGAATGTAAACAGAGGGGCAGCACAACGGGGCGGTGACCCAGGGCCTGCCGTCGGTATCGGGAAGTACTCACACCCGGGAACCTCACGCGTGACGCGCATACTCCTTAATTCATATTGATAAAATCATCATCGTTGGCCTAGCTTTTCTCTAAGATCTAGGTATTATCTATCATATGCTACATGCAACACCATGTAATGCAAGCAACTTGTGCCAGGACCCGTAACTCGATTTTCCCTCCGCGATTTCAGAGTCTGACCTTCGCAACGTAATGGCGTCTAGGTTCAGGGTGGCCAACACCGCTGGCAGGTTTCACAGTCCCACGTATCTGTACTTAAGTACGGAACCACTGTGCATAGCGCTCATCAATCATCTATTCGGCGCGTGCATCATTTGCGCTCGTAGTAATCATCTTGCTGCTGTCGCCGGTCTTCCTGGACGCCGCCTTCGATACCATCCTCGCCGTGGACGTGCTGCTGGGTGCCCCAGAAATGTTCGCGCTCCTTGAGCAGAGCGTCCGCCCATTCCTTGGTCTCGGGTAATGTGAACTTGGTCGCGACGTATGCGAATTCGCCCAGGTCAAGCTTGCCCTGGCCGCGCTTCTCATACTCCATCATCTGGAGAAGCAGCTCCATCTTGTCCAGATCGTGTACGTAGTGGCTGTTGAGGGTCTGGGAGTCCTCGTACTCTTGCCAGATCTCGCGAATCTCGGCACCTGGGATACCGCCGTAGACACTGCCAAGAAGGTTCTTGGTAATAAAGTCCATCGTCTCGGCCTCACGTCTGTTCTTCTCGGGCTTCGCCACGCCATCGACGGGTGTGATGTCTCCAACCAGAGACTCGGCCATGTCGTGTATCAGGCACATCTTCATGCATCGCGCGAGATCGAGACGGGGCGCAAGGGCAGGCGGGGCGAGCATTGATAAAAGGGACATGCGGTACATGTGGTCAGCGATAGATTCTCCTCTGTCAAGGCCCTTGCGTTAGCGAACATCGACATCTGTATACCTTGCGATGATTTGCGACGTGGGGTACCAACCTCGCGATGCCAAAACGGCGCCAACCCTCCCGCTTGGTTGTCTTGAGGCGCTCAATCAGATGGAAGTAAGGGAGCGGTGAGCCGGCGTCCGCAGGTCCTGCAGTGCCTGGAGAGATTTCAAGAGCCTTCTCGACGGTCCATGTTCCTTCAACTTTGGGGGTTTCGACGTGACCCAAATCTACGCAAAGGGTCAGCAAAGGATGGCAAGAGGACAGCCGCGTAGGCCCAGTGAACCTACTCTTGATGTCCACCTCGCCATTGGTGCTGGAGGCACTTTTGTTGCTGTGGGGAGCTGCGGAAGACATGCTTGTAAAATCGCTCGGAGATGTGAAAGGAGCTCTATTGTATGTCTGTTCTCGTTTCGCGGAGGACGATTGCGACAGAATAGCTTTCTCGTGGAGCGGGGCAAAACACGCAGAGTGCAGGGAGAGAGTTGGTGGACGAAGCAAGGCAATTATCGCGGGGTCCGTTGCTGGCGCTAAAGTGACGGACTGAGCCCAATGCAAGATGACTGGTACTGGCGTGAAAGGACAAGAAGCGAAGAGAGACCGAAGGAACAGGTCTGACTGATATCAGGAAATGGAATGCAAAAGTTGGGAAAGCGCAACGGAGGGAAACAGAGAAAAAAAACAGATGGCTAAAGCGCAGAAAGGGGCCTCTCCGTTCCTGCCTGAGTTTGCTTGTCTTTCGTCTTCCAAGGAAGGGACATCCCAGCTTTGATGTCACCACCGTCACAGGCAGGCAGCTAGCTAGCTACCTACCTTACCTTACCTTACTTGTAGGTACGACTGCAAGCAACCGGCCGCCGCCTGCCTTATCGGCTCTTTCGCACTCACAACCTGACAGACGGCTGGCGGCCCCGACAGAAATGGAAAGGAGCCAATCCGTCCACCTGCCCTTCCATGGAGCCCGGCCCCACCCACATTCTGCAACCATTCAGCGGCCCGCCATTTGCGATCCTTCCTTGACTGGCTTCCCATCTCAAGTTTCCAGAAAGACAAACATAAATGATGCACGACATCTTAATTATGCGCAAAACCACTGCTTCGGCATCATGCTTTACCCTGGTCGAATGCTAGCCATGCACTTCGTGTGGGCAACCGTCACTGTTATTCAAGCTGTACTGGATTACCTGTTTCTCCCAAGCTACTCAAACTACAAATTCACCTACAGATCATAGTCCGGAATATCAATCGTACTGTTTGCTTCCAATGCATCCTTGATTGCTTGGCAAACAATCAGTGCACCAAGACCTGCCTGCGGCGAGCAGCTAGCTGACTCTTTGCCATGGATTACACGACAGAAATGCGCAAGCTGCAGCTCAAACGGAACCCCATCTTCTACCGCCAGCTTCTCTCTCGCCATCTCCGAATGCCACGACTTATTCGTGCCCTTGTATGACCATATCGACAAGTCAGGTACGCTGAGTGATCCCTCGGAGCCAAATATCTGGTAAAAGTTCTGTCCCGTCTTGGGGATAAGAGGGTTCTCGCCTGTTCCCGCCTCAAAGTTGTAGGGTGATGGCACGTTGTCTGAGATAAGGAATGTCCCGACAACGCCTGATTTGAATCGAATCGTGAGCGCCGCACCTTCTTCGGCTTCATGACCTCTCTGCGAAGTCGTTTTTTCCGCATGGACTCTTGTAATCGGCCCGAAGAGATGATGAAGCAGGTCGATTTCGTGGATTGCATTGATCAAGACAACTCCTCCATCCTTTCCCTGCCTCCATTCGGTGGGAGCCTCGAAGTAATCGCCCGGCTTGTAGGTGGTCCAGAGTCCGTTAATGGCTATGATCTTGCCTAGAGCTCCCGAATCGAGTACCTTTTTTGTACTGATGATGTAGGGATTGAAACGTCGATGATGGCCCACGAGTGTCTTGACCTCAGTGGTTTGGAGATGACTCAGTAGCTCGGTGCCACTCGGGATATCAGAGCTGATGGGCTTTTCGACGAGCACATGGACGCCTCCCGAGGAAAGCTGTTTCGAAACGGCGACGTGCGTGTGGTTTGGGGTGCAAACGATTGCAGCTTGAGGCACATGTTCCGATTGCAAAAGGTCGCTGACTGATGTGAAGTGTGCTACATTCAACTCAGCTGCTAGTTGAGCCCCAGCGGGCGCGGGATCGACCACTGCAACAAGCTCTGCATCGGGGCTCTGAACGACTGTCCTAGCATGTCTCGGACCAATCAGACCGGTGCCGATAATGGCAAAAGAGATTATGCCTTGGTGGCTCGTCATGTTTGGACAACTGGTGATTGGTAATGACTTCGAATGTCCTACTCGCAAGTATGAAATGCGCACGATGCGAAGTCAAGTGGGCAAGGACGGAAACTTGGGTAGTGCTTCGAGTCAGAATTCACTCAAATGACCGGACGCAGGAGCCTTGCTCCACCCTAATTGTACGCTGAAATGGAGCAAACCTCAGTCTCTATATATCAGAGTCCGCGACATTGAATATCCGGCTTGATGCAGGAGCGGAACTGCGTTTACCCTGCGTCGGATATAAGTCCAGCTGAATTTCCAACTCCTGGCATACGGCAAAGATATCATGCGTGTGCGCCGAGAATGATTTCAGGCGTGCGGACAGGTGCTGGTACGAAAATCAGCTGGGCCCCATCCCCCGCATGGCGGACCTAAGCGTGGGATGGCTGAACCCCGCATTCCCTGGCCCATCGCGGGGGAGGACTTATGACAAGGCCGAAATCGGTCGTGACTCGTGATGAAGACCCAATTACCTGCTTCGATTCATCTACCAAATGCTCTACCTGAATTCGTCACGACGGAAGTCGGCGGCTTCAATAACTTCGGACACCAACGCCGCAGCCCCTTTTGGCCCCTCAAATTTACCCAGCGCCGTTTTGGCAAGTTGTATTCACAAATGGCTGATTCCCGTGTTAGAGGGCAAGAATAGGTAGACATGATGGATGTTGTGGCTCGTTCCAGCTCAATATGTTGAGAATGAATAGTTTTAGTTTCAGGATGAAAATCTCACAAGACGTGATACTGCGAATAGGGAAGTTAAGACCAAAGCGACTACCGAGAAGAGTCTGGCAAGAATAGAAGGGAAGCATGTTCCAATCGCGGGCCGTGCAAATCTTACGAGTATCAAGACAAGCACCAGAGCCTTCAACGAGGTACCTTAAGCAGCATTTGAACCAACTGTGGGCGGAGAAGTTACTTAAGATGCGGGGTCAACGGGAAGCGCTCCAACGGGGAGAGATCACCCGGCCTGGGTCCTGTCATGAGATCAACACTAAAATCCCCATCAGTACCCGTCATGACCGAATGCTTTGTGACTCGAGTGACATGGTAGTGCTGTCAATGATACACTTCCTCGGGCCTTGTACGCATCGCGCGTCCCAGGATGCGCCTATACTTTCTCTCTCCCAAAGTCCTCTGATCTCCTCGAACGGTTCGGCTCGATAACATCCGAAGTTGTTAGGCAAGGTTTAGATTTGCTGGCTTCTCAGTTCCAGCTCGTGGACGACATATAAAGGAACAAAGTTTAGGCCGACGCCTTCGAATGACATTGCCAAGCTTGCCAGGCTTACTCTGCTATCGAGAGTAAATTAGACTGTACATACAATTGGAGTCCCCCTCGCCAGTGCTCACAGTACTTCAATACTACCCCATCCCTCCATTTACCCCGTCTCGGAGGAACCAAACCAGAAAAGTAGTGTACCCCAGGGCGAGGGATGACGCACCCAACTGAAAGCACCAACCAATGTGAGGGGGAATTGTGGATCTTTGGGAGGCTCGCGCCTTGTTTACAACACAATGGACAAGGGGTTCACTCTTCCGATGGGATGAAGGATTGCCGTAACCTGTTGCTCGGGCTTTTAAGATGCACTCGTCGCATGTCGCATTCGAAAGAGGGGCGAGCAGAGCGCCGAGGGAGAGCGGTATAAGAGGATGGCTATAATCTCCTGGAAAAATGCCCATCTTCTCAGTCGATTGTTGTCCGAAGATTCCACTGGCTCAAAGCTCCGAACCCTCTTCTCGATATGCGGCGCATTGCTGCTCTACTTGTGGCATCGCTACTACCACTTGCCGTCATCGCCG